TTGATTTCAGAGAGGAAGGAAGAAAACGAGAGAGATAGAAACATCAATGATGAGAAAGGATCACTGGTAGGCTGCTTCCTGTCCCTCCCCTCTCCCTGGGATTTGAGCCGGCAACCCATGTATGTGCCCTGACCAGGAATAGAACCATGAACTCCTGGTTTGTGGGTTGATGCTCAACCACTGAACCACACTAGCTGGGCTATAGTATTTTATTTATTTATACACTGGGTTTTTTTTACACTGTTTTTTTAAATATATATTTTATTGATTTTTTTACAGAGAGGAAGGGAGAGAGATATAGAGAGCTAGAAACATCGATGAGAGAGAAACATCGATCAGCTGCCTCCTGCACATCTCCTACTGGGGATGTGCCTGCAACCCTGGTACATGCTCTTGACCGGAATCGAACCCGGGACCATTCAGTCCGCAGGCCGACGCTCTATCCACTGAGCCAAACCGGTTTCGGCATGTATTTTAAAATATTTTTTGAATATATGTATTTTTATCATTGGTAGTATTACAGATGTCTCCCATTTCCCCCTGTATCTGTATATAATGTTTGGTGAATCTATTTCAGGCCTCCCTCCCTCCTCCCCTCAGAGATCTGTCAGTTTGAACCAGTTAAGCCTAGCTCCAGTCCCATCTTGTCCTCCAGCACCACCTGTGGGGCCTCAACACCTACTCACCAAGGTCATTGGCTGGGATGAGCCCGCCTCTGGGGTAGGAAGAACTACATTACCCAGAAAGCACTGCGCCAGCGTCAGAGGACGTAAGGTGCATTTTGGTTCCCGCGCATTCGCTTCGGGCGGGGCTTCCGGCGTCCTCCTTCTGGCGTCCTCTTCAGGGGACTCGGGGACTCGCAAGCTTCGCGCTCTGGTGGCGAGTAGGAGGAGGTGGCGGATGCAGCGTCCCCGCTGGTCAGGGTGTCTCTGAGGCTCGTTGACCCCCAAACGGCGGGATTGGAGCCTCCGTGCCTCCTCGACTCCTGCTTCCGGAGTGCAACCGGCCTCACCTCATTCGCCCTCCCGCCTGAGGGGTGGGTGCCGGTCCCGCCTGCAGCCCAGGTCTCAGCGCCGGAACAGTGAGTGGCTTGAGGGTGCCCCGTGGTGAGACCCGGTGGGAGAGGGTGACAGGCGGAAAAGCCACCGTGTGAGGCCGTGGGGTGTGACTGAGGAGGGAGGATGGGGCGACCCAGGTCCGTCTTATCCCTAAAGGCGACAAAGAAGATGAAGCGAAGTTTTTTTTTTGTTTGCTTTTTTAAAAAAATATATTTTATTGATTTTTTACAGAGAGGAAGGGAGAGAGATAGAAACATCGATGAGAGAGAAACATCGATCAGCTGCCTCCTGCACACTCCCTACTGGGGATGTGCCCACAACCCAGGGACATGCCCTTGACCGGAATCGAACCTGGGACCTTTCAGTCCACAGGCCGACGCTCTATCCACTGAGCCACACCGGTTTCGGCAAGAAGATGAAGCGAAGTTTTGTGTGAGGAGTTTTCCTTTCCTTTTCAGGAAGCTGCTGCCATCCATGGCTGTGAACAAAGAGGGACATAGTGTGAGTTAGGGTTCTAGCCTTTTCTCAAACTGCCCAGAGGAACAGACTAGAAGGGAGAGGCGAGCAGGAGGGCGGGAAGGAGGACCCTGTAGGTGATGGGGTCACTGGCAGGTGCGCACTGGACCTAGCCCGGAGGGATGCGGCATTACCTGGCCCCGGGGCATGGCCAGGGCCCTGAGCACCCTGAGCCCGTGGGTCCTGCAGGTGGTTGCCAGGCATCAGACATGAGGCCTGATGAGTTTCTCAGTAGGTGACGTGGAAGGAAAACACAGTCAGGGAGGGAGGCCTTTGTAACAGGACTCAAGGCTGCCTCAATGAGTGTGGACTCTCAGAGGTGGTGTAGAACTTACTCCTGGTTGAATTTACGAAGCAGTCACTACACCACACATGCTGAGTAGTGAGTAGGAAGTCAAGGAAATGACTCTGGGTCTGTGGATGTGGGAGTGCAGGTGAGAGAGAGGAGAGGAGACAGAGTGATGTGCCCTAGGAGAGGGCATGTGCATTCATGCACGCAGGGCCCTGGCATGGACATAAGAGGGAATGAAGGGAGTCCATTT